GACTAGGTTATTTCGCTATACATATATACAAAAGAAGCAATTGTATAATTCACTGGCTCCTCTTCAAATTTGTATAATTTCGCTGGTAGGTCATTTGTATAAATTGTTGTCAGCCTCTCGTTTGTATAAATCGTTGAGAGTCTCTCAATTTAATTTTATGTGTTTGTATATCTGTATAAAATTTGAATTTGTATACAATTGAATCGAAATAAAACGTTTGTATATCAAATATCGTTCTCTCTCTCGCTTTATACAAACATAAATTATACATTGTATTTTGTATTATAATCTGTGTTTGTATAAAGCGAGAAAGAGAAAAAGACAAAAGAGAACTGGGCAGGGGAATATTTGTATTGTATAATTATAAGTGTATAGGACGAAGATATATGTATTTGCATGTGTATATACAATTTTCTCTCGCTTTATACAAACAGAAACACAATCTATATATTTCTGTTTGTATAAAGCGAGAGAGGCGAGCGACAGAGAGAGGGAGAGTGGCGAGTGAGAGTTTGAGGGAGAGAGACGATTGACAAACAGTTTGCTACAGGGCACAATTAAATCAAAGTGTAATTATACCATTTAATTTGAATTAATAATTTGCCATTATGTACAATTTTCCCAACTAATTAATTGGCTACAAAAGTAAGCTTCCATAGCCCAATATACATCTTGTTAGTGAAAAACTTACAAGATAACAAAAAATACAAGATACAATTGAAATTAAAATGAAGAAACAGAAATCTCTTCAGGCTGAGGCGCGGATATCTCGCTCTCTTTAAGGAGATTCAAGCCCACTGCAGCAAATGTTTTCACCGATCCAGCAGTAGTCCTTCTTGACTTGTCCCCTCCAGGATACAACAGCCTATTCACAATATATAACTCAACAACCCTGGACAAGAGTTGAGTTCAAAGCTCCACAAAAAGAACACCTTCCTTCAACTAATAAGAACTCTTTTTTGACTAACTCTTTCACTCTATATTTTTCTTGTGTATAGTGTATAACAAACCAAATGAAGACCACCACTATTTATACTAGAAGAAGTCTTCCTAGCAATGAATAGGAAGATAATGGTGTAGTAAATAGTGAAGATAATGGTCTTAGGAGTTACATATGTTACAAGGATAATGGAAGAGTAAAGAATGAAAATAAAGAGAGTGTAACAAATGCATCCAACGGCAAATGAACATGCTGCCCAATTCCAACGTTCACTAGAACGTTTCTGCCAGCATTTTATGACCACTAAGTCAATGGTCAATCCATGAGTAATTAGGCAATATTAAGGCACCAAAATAATGAGCAAATTTAATATAAAAAATAATATTAAAATGCTCAATAACCAACACATCTCTGTGAGTTTGTTACTTGAGATTTTATAACGCAGTCTAATCGAAATCGGACAAGTGTCAAGTTTTCTGCTGGTAGTAAATCTTATGCAAATTTACAAAGAAATTAACTGAGTAAATAATATTCCTCTGTCCCTAATTATTTGTCCACTTTTTCGTTTATAGTTGTCCTTAATTACTTGTCAATTTTGATAAATCAAGAAAGGACAATTTTTTTTACCTATTATATCCTCAATTAAATGATTAATTATTTTTTAAAATATAGAATTTTTCATCCACTTCATAATTAATAGGGGTAAAATGGTAAACTCATTATGTCATTAATTGTTTTCTTAATAGGTGTGTTAATTCAAAAGTGGACAAGTAATTAGGGACAGAGGAAGTAGAAATGTACCCAGAGTTCTATAACGAATGAAGCACATTCTACTAAACAATCATTATTATTTTTTTATTGAAATATACTACTAAAAATATTTAATGGCTATTACAAATATTTTGATAGAGTCACTAAGAAAAAAAAAACAGTAGGAAACTTCTCAGTATTCAAAGAAAATCTATTTTCTACCATGTGTTCTAGCTAGTTCGATGGAATATGGTGGGGATTAAAAACCCTTGTTTCTAGCCAGGAGAGCATTATTCCTTTTGTTTTCTACTTACATGTTTATAATTAGGGATTATGAATTAATTGTTGTACTTGTTGAAGTAGCTAGAAAACAATAGAAAGATGATTCATAGGGTACAAGAAAATCGATTTGTGTAAAGTAATAGGTCACACGTGTTCACCATTTCTGGTAATAAAAACATAATACCATCATTGTACGGACAAAAAACAAGTGGTGAACAAGCTTTAAGAAACTTGGACTATTGTAGTTTCTACACAAAAATAATAATAATATTGCACACAAAGTGATCATAATTCTGCCAAGATGTTTGCACAGTACACATATAAAGCCTAGCTAGACGTAACTTCTAGCTAGTTAACGAATATCATTGTGCACCCCCGTGAAAAACTTTTGTAAGCCAAATCAATATGTGGCCCATATCATCATTTGTAACAAAATTGAGGAGACAGGATTTAAAGTTTTTAGATACAAGGTTCTAGTCATTTCAAGTTATCGACTTGTATAAATTACATATTTTATGAATATTGAATGAAGTTCTTAAAGTAAATATAAAAGTTAGTGAATTTGAACAAAATTTTATTTCAAAAACTAAGTGCGGCAAAATAACATACATAATTTAAAAGTATGATCAACCGTGCATCAAGACTTATAATCTTATATATGTCATGACATTTCTATGATAAAAGAGGAAGGGTTTGCAATTGCAAATTTAGTAAAGTATATTTTTTCTATAAGCTAAACTGACATGCGTATTGCTACTATAATAATAATATAAAATGTTTAGGCAACCCCAATATAATGTGGTTTAATTTAGTCATATGCCATAGGTGGAAGAAATTTGTTAGGGAAAATACATAAAAACCCCTCTGAACTTGGCCCGAAAACTTACTTTAGTACTTAAATTACACGGGTGTTTATATACCCCTTAACATATTTGATGTGAATTGTTTTCAACCCTCCGAACACCAGCCCAGTTGAAGGCTTGGCATTGTTACACACACGTTTTCATTGATCGACGTCACTAAGGGTTTAAATATCTTACCCGTTTTATATAACTCATCCGTTCCCAAAATACAACTCGACCCATTTCTAAACAAATATCCCTAAATCTCTACTCCCGATTCTCATTCTCTCAAATATACAAGACTTAATCTGAAGATTTTTCTTTCGTTAGCGTGAAGGATTTGCTGAGTTTAGGATTTTCGTGAAGAAACAAAGGATTTGCGTGAAGAAACAATGTTACCAAATAATAAGAAAAAGGGAGGAAAGAAAAATCAAAATAATAGAGGAAGAAGAATAGGTTTGAATCTTACATTTTGAAGAACAACTTTTAGGTTTGAAGAGCTAATATTTGAGAAAAATCAAGAAAACAACAATGAATTAGGTCACCATTTTTGGATGATTGGGTTGGTGAGGGAGAAGAGGAAATTAGGGTTCTTTAAAAGTGAAGATGGATCTTCAAGTACGTAATGCGTCGGATATTACCGTTGGAGGGTCAAATTTTATTTTTAAAAAATGTTAAAAGATGAATTACGCGCCGTTCCAAGTTGTATCAACACGCGCACGAGGCTGGTGTTCGGAGGGTTGAAAATAATTCACATCAAATATCTTAAGGGGGTATATAAACACCCATGTAGTTTAATTGCTAAAGTAAGTTTTCGTGTCAAGTTCAGGATTTTTTTTAGTGTATATGATTCAAATTATATGGATAAGTTTACTACCCCTTTAGTATTATAATTAATAATCTAATTCGTCCGTTTCATATAATTGCATATCATGTTTTTACTGAGACAAGAAGTTTTAGAAAAAAAAAAAAAACGGGTATGTGTCGTAAATAGAATTAAAATTTTATCGTCTCAATTATGTTTAAGTCATTTTTTTTTTTATATATATAGCCATAAAAGCATGTAATTAAAATAAAATAATTAATTTAAAAGTTAATTTTTAGTCGAAATGCATTAATCAGCTTCAACAAAATATCTTTTGCTCTATGGGAGTACTATTGGAGAAGTACTGTCATGTAAGCTGTGGCGGATGGAGCATGAAAATAACATGTACAACCGAACAAACTTTTTTATATCAATATATGTTAAAAAAACGTACAATAAATGTGTCTATTTGTTAGTTTTTATAAGTTTAAGTGTCTATTTGTGTACATATAAAGTTATATTATATAAATATCAGACGAGATCAAGTTAAATAACACATTTATGTATTCGTAATGTGTCAAAAAGAAAAATATATAGTATATTTTTTCTTACTTGATTATATTCTCAAAACGCTTAACGCATGACCTTTACTTGCTCTGATACCTTATTGAAGTGTGAGACTATTTCATAAAAAAATTTAAACGGTTAATAGAAACACACTTTTATTTTCTTAATTGTATTCTCAACAATAATTTCAAAAGTACTTCCTACCACTCATTTCATGTGAAGATGTAGAAGTTGTTCAAATATGTAAAATTTTATTTTCAAAATATTTAAAGAAACTATATATGAGTTCTGGTCAAAATTAAATATTTTGACCATCCTTAAAAGGACGTATTTTGGGTCAATCAATAGTAAGAATTTAAATGCTAAATGTGTCAAATTAAAATTCTGATTAGTCATTCATGATAAGTACGAATTTGATCGAACCCATCAATTTTTATTTAAATAATATATTTGTATCAAAAAATTTATTATATATGTACAAATATTAAGTTTCGAACCCAAAAATATCAATACTTGTTCAAAATAATTGTTATAAAATTCATAACCCATAAAATTAAAATTCTAACTTTACCTTTTATTAAACTTTTATCAAATACTCATTAACTTATATATATTGGTTGATCGAGCATTGTTAGTCTTTGTGGTTGCTAGGAAGACAAATCATAAAATTCTTGAAATATCATTTTGGACCCCACACCCCTCTCATTTTGTATCCTATATAAGTAGCACCCCTTCGATACAAATAATGTACTCAATCATCAACTCCATCGATAATATTCACTACTAAAGAGTTCATCAAAAACAATACTACTATAATGTCTTCTTCTCAAGTTGGACAAGGATCATCAGTTACATGGACTTTACAACAAAACAAGGCATTTGAGAGGGCATTAGCAGTGTATGACAAAGACACCCCTGACCGTTGGTCTAACGTTGCTAGAGCTATTGGAGGCAATAAAACTGCTGAAGATGTGAAGCAACATTATGAAGTACTTCTTCATGATATCAAGTTTATTGAGAGTGGTGGTGTGCCTTTCCCTAACTACACCACTCGTAACGGAGGCCGAGGCCGCACTAATAACAAATAATTCGCATTAAGGTATGATTTATTGTCTTGTTCTAACATGATATCAGAATAGACAAATTTTGATCCAAATGTCTCCATTATATTAATTACGTGTTTGGTTTATAAAAATGAATTATCCTTACATGTTCAGGATATACTTAACTAAATAAAAATGTCTAAGTAAGATGTTGAAGCTTTTGTTTTTGTCTTGTTCTTACTCTTTCTCAATTTTCCCATTGCCCGTCCACTCAATTCAGGTACTTAAATCTCATTATTTTAAAAGATTTAAATCAATCATGTTTTTAAGATGGGATGGTCACATGTTTTAAAAGTCTTAAATTCCAAAACTAATGTGTTAAAAAATAGTGTTAAGAGATTAATTCTATAATTTGATTTTTCTTTTATGTTGCTCCACATCTTATCGCAACTTTTTTTTCCACAACTTAGAGCTTATTTTAGTCTTGTTTAAAGCAAGTAGCCAAGGTAAGTATCATCCAAAATAAAATACTAATGCCTATTTTCTTCCTAGTACTATTTGTGTTTCTCATTGAATATGCAAATCATCTCCATATAATAGTATCTTTTTGAAATGGCAATTCTTAATGTTTCTCATTGAATATATATTTGATGCAGGATGCAAATCTTTGGTTCCAACAAAGCAATGAGGGAAAGAAAACTGCAGCCTTAATTATTAATTATATATGACACAACATTTTTACTCCAAGAAATTAGTAACCCTACTACTAGCTATTAAAATAATAATAATAATAACCAGAATATCACATTTTCTTCTTGACAATTCAAGTGAAGTGTATATCAATTTCTTTGTACGTCCAAGTTAATTGTATTAATTTGCATTATTGCTATCAATTTCATGGATGTACTATATGAAGGAAGCATTTGAATTCCTTCTACTTTGTAATAGCATTCATGTTTGATCTCTTTCTATAAAATACGTTTTTATTTTTATTTTGTGTACGTGCAATTTAATAGACACACATGTCTTACATGACATCCTACATGGCATTGTTTGTCCTACGTGTATTGTGCCACGTAGGACTCTTGTATCTACTTGTTCAACTTTATATAAGTTTAAGTGTCTATTTGTGTACACCCAAAGTTGAAGGGGATAAATGTAAAATTAAGCCAAGTTAAAAGACACAGTTATGTATTATGCCAAAAAAAATTGACGTTCATTATTCATAGGGTTTTAAGAATGGACCCCAAATTAATTCTTAGCTTATTTGAATGCTCTTAAATACACGATGTGTGGAACATTTACACCTTACCATATTGTAATAATCACTTTGCAATATAAGTTTTATCCACTGACAACATAAAATATTTTACGAACTCAGTGTAACTTTGAATGGCTCTGATAAATTACTACCTATATCTTTAATTTTCAGAATTATCAACTTATACAAAATGTATAAAATTTACTTTGAGTTGGCTTTTAGGAAACTTAATCAGTAAATAAATTTATCTGACCATTGTAGCTGAAACACGATTTGAAATGGACTAGAAAGCGTAAGTACAAGAGAACAATAATTTCAGCACACAAAAATAATGGAGTAGTTATTTCTTAAAAATAAATAAAAAATAACAGACAATATTATATCACGATGACAATAATACCCTTTGAGACCATCAGTCAGGACTCAGGAGACTCGTTTCAGGACGCACGTTGTAAAAATAGGAAATATCTAATTTCTTTTAATGACTTCGGTGGGTGGGAAACCCGCATCCGTCTTTGGGTGTGCAAGGAAAATAAATCTGCAGTTTTTACCCTTTGAGTGTGCACAAAACAAAACCCCTGCTTCTATGCAATAGCTCACAAACCACATAGGAGAGGTAACTTGCACTAGGCAAGCCCGGTGCAACGAGGTCAACCCAAAAAGTGAACCCCTTGCTTTCGTTGGCAGGAATTTCGAACTTGAGACCTTCAATATGGAAGTTCCCAAGCCCAAACCACTGGACCACCTCAAAGGGTAAAAATGGGGATAATTGCCTTTCCTTTAAATGTTTTTGATAAGTTAAAAAGGAGGATAAATCGTAATGTGTTCACAATTATAGGTTGAATAAATTAGAAGTTCCAGCAAACTAAAATTGAGGCGTAATGTTTACATATATACAACAATCATCAATGGAGTGTGTATATATTTCTTTAAGGGTGTAGCAGAAACATAGCTATTCAAACTTAGTTACATGAGATTCATTAAACAACTTAATGGAGCAGAAACCTAGTTTAAGCACTTTCGTCATTTTTTCATAATCCTGATCCCACAAACAATTCACTGGTGCATAGTAACACCAGCGAATCTATCCACTTTATGGGGTGTAATGCAGCAGAAACACAGATTATGAAACTTTTCTCCGTTGCAATAGAATTGCGAGCTTAAAAGTTTCGATAATGTTCCTTAAACACTTGACACTTGGTCGATCTTTCATAGTCCTGATACCACCAACAAGTTGAGTGGTGCAAAGAGCAGAAGAAACCAGTGAATCTATTCACTTCAATGAAATCAACGAATCCAAGTTCTACACAACAATTGAGATACTAATACAGACAGTGGAAATAAGAGAGTGGAAGTTACAAATCAAGAGCATTCCATAGATCAATAGAACATAGACAGCATAGTGAAAAGTCAGATGTCATTCTTTTCTACTCTATTGATACTAGCCATCAAGTCAAGATGTGCCAAAAATCCTACTTAGCCAATGTTGTTTGCAGGGGCAGAGAACTTTCAACCTCTTTAGCCTCAGCATTCCTTTCCGCAACAATTTTTGACATGCCAAACATCTGATATGTGCATTGGACAAGGTTAACAGCCAGTTATATTTGAAGTAATAGATGTGATGCTTTTTTAGGTTCACTGTAAGCAGATTGTTTAGTTTAGGTGAAAGTAATAGCAAATACCTTTTGGATGGTCTTCTTGAAGCAAGTTTTGTGTTCATCCATAGAAGCATGAATGAATTCATCCATGTGATCCTTGATGTCTTCTAGAAAAGTTGCTTGTTCGCTCTTCTTCTTCCGACACGAAGTCATGGCTGGATTTGGAGTAACAGGGGATGGTGTCTTCTCATTTTGGACATTTTCTGCTGCCATGTTATCCTTGATGCGAGGCTCTTATCTAGGCTATAAGGTTATCAACATCACATATAACTATTTTATTTCTTCGTATGCACCAACGAAGACAACCATACACCAAGAAGAAAAATCAAGTCAACAAATATAACAACAACAATTATGTCTTAATCCCTACTTGGGTTTTAGCCACATTAATCCTCATGTACATTTTGATCCATTTGGATCCCCTCTTCAGTTATCTTCAATAACAACAGCTTGCATTTAACTCTGTATTAATAGCAAACCACCTCAGAACTTAGACTCCTTTATTATGATTTTCATTCCAATGACTTAGGCGCGATTCACACAAATAACGTACATAGTAATCAAAAGGAATAATTACCATGAAGAGATACCCAGATTTTCAGGTATAGAAACAGGATAGATATCTACGAAAGTAAGACAAAATATTTGTAATCCATCAATGATACAATGCCACTAAAGCAAAATATAGTCTTTACAAAGCAAAAGAATTAGATCTGCTCAAAGCAAGAACCCGGAACACCTCAAATTAAACTGGAAAGAAAGAGTTAAAGTATAATTTTCACGACTGTCAAATTGGCCAAATAATCAATCAAAAGCATCCCTGGGACTAAAGGAAGGGTACATGAAGCATAACCCTTACAACATATAAGTACTACTCCCTCTTTCCCAGTTTATGTGACACAATTCAGATTTCGAGAGTCAAAACGGTTTAAGTTTGGCAATGAATTTGGACATGGAATTTATTTAAATATTCAAAAACTAGGTAAGAAATATTACAAGTGTATCAAGCAACTAAATTAGTGTGGTAATTACTCCAGGTACAGGTAAAAGCACAAGTGTGAGTTATCACATCCCATTGGAGAAGCAAATTTCACAGTAAGAGGCAGAGCTAAGGAAACAAAATTGCAGATAAACTGTTTGATTTAATGCTGCTAAGAAAATACTACTAAATAAGTAAACCGATTTATGGGAGATAAATTTCAAGGAATTAACATCTCAAAAAAGAAAAGAAGAAAAATTAAAATCGATGGAGATGAGTTTTGCTGCTTACCTTCCGAAATAGATAGCACATGGTTTGAGAATGAGCAGGGACCTCCTTCTATCGAGAAGGGACTATAGAATGTAATAACTTGAGCAACAAGATTTTGTTTCTATTATTTGGGCTAAAAGCGGGCGCCACCATGGGCCGGGTCATAACCTAGCCCGGCCCATTTATCATAAAACATGCTGAAGGATTCTGTTGATCATAAAATTCATCAACTTGTCTTGTCATAATTTTCAATAATACACTAGAAAGTAATCCAAATTGTACTAAATCAAATTGTAAATGACTGATATTTTCTAATACTAAATTCACTTTATCTTCCTCAAGTAGAAGTATTAGTGCTTTACTTTCTTAAGTGAGTTTAGCTACGTTGTTCAAAGGGGATGAGTATTATTTTTTTCATTAATAGTCCACATTTAATTTCTTATCCATATAATATAACCCTGAAAATGTATTGAGATCCAAGGAAAAAGAATCTTCGAGCTAGACCGAGTTACATACAATTTAAATTTTAAATTTTAGAAAAGTTGGACAAAACTAATTTATACTATTGTACAACAATAAAATCTTAAACAATCTCATCAAATTGGAAAAATTGCAGTATGCACTGTAACCACTGTGTAATAGTCAGTCCCATGGCCCAATATATGTATGTGATTGTGACCCAACACTTCAACAGTCATAATAATTGAGATTATTGGATGAAGTACCATGTTGAAGAAGTTGAGGTTAAAAATCATATTGTTCTCTTCGTATCAAATTATCTGTCATATTTTTTTCTTACACGTTTCGTAACAAAATATTAAGTAATTAAAAGAAGTTTCATTCTTTCGTGAAGAAGAAAAGTAAGAAAAAGAATAAATATTTAATGATGAGGTGGCCTGTTACGTGACGTCCAACTTACCCAAATGTCTTGCCATATGGACAATCGTTAAAAAGAGCTATATTTTTACATATTTTACTAATTTGACCATATATTATAACTAGAGACGAACTCATAATAAATAATATAGACGAAAGTTGAGAGACATTTTTATCCTTTTCACATTAAAAAGGACAAGGGTATGAGCCAAAAGATTAAAGCGGCCATCTCTAATGTATCATCTTCTTCTAGTGTAGTGTAGCTTAGAGAAAGGGAGAAAAGTGTTAGGTTTGTGAAAAATGGGAAATGTATTTGCAGTAATAAAGCCAATATTGCGGTGTCTAATGAAAGTTATTGGAATGAGATCCAAGTTAGTGGAAATAGAAGCTGGAACTACCTTACATTTTTGGGTTCCAACCATCAATTCAACTAAGCCTTCAGTTGTATTTCTCCATGGATTTGTTGCTAATGGAATTATGACATGGCTTTTTCAAATACTCTCCTTAAGTTCAGATTTCGCTATCTACGTCCCTGATTTACTTTTCTTCGGAGATTCCTTCACCGATTGTCCCCAACGGTCAACAAGTTTTCACGCACATTGTTTAGCAAAAGGTATTGCTCAACTCATATTTCATTTGATATCATGTTGAAGTGTGTGATCATCTTATCTAAAAATTTAAGTTATTAAAGAAAAGATAATTTTATTATTTAATTATAATATCTCACGTGCGGGTCTGATTCTTTTTCTTTTAGGCATGATCAAGTTGGGAGTTGAAAAGTTTTCTCTAGTGGGGTTCAGTTATGGAGGAATGGTTGGGTTCAAGTTGGCCCAATTGTATCCTCATATGGTTGAATCTATGGTTATGTCAAGCACGGTTATAGAGATGACTGAAACCATTAGCAATGCTTCTTTGAACAATATTGGGTTCACTAACTGGCCTGATTTTCTTTTGCCCAAAACCATAGCTGATCTCAAAGTGCTTTTATCTATTGGAAGCCATAAGTTTCCTTGGTTCCCTCAATTTTTGTTCAGGGATTTTCTTGAGGTACGTGCGTCTTTAACTACCCCTCAATCTACTTTTCCTCTTTATTTAACTATACTAAAAATAGTTGTTTGACATAATTTATTTTATTTTTGCTACTCAATATATATATATATATATATATATATATATATATATATATATTTCCTAAAACATTAAATTTGATGTATATTCAAAGGGTAATGTAGTAATATTATTCCTTTTCTTTATTATTTTTTGGATAGAAAGAGTAATACTCCATTTCACATTCTATCTTCTTCCATCAACACTTTTACTTGTTCACTCTTTGAAAAAATAAATCTTTATTTTTTAAATCATATTTTATTCTTAACATTAATTAATTAATTTTCAATACTTAATACTAAACATAATTATTGCTTCTTATAAAGAAGGTGCAAAGTCCAATGTTGACAAATAAAAGTAAAAGAAAAAAGTACTCCCTCCGTCTCTATTTACTTGTCCATATTTCCTTTTTTAGTTGTCCCTATTTAGTTGTCCATTTTGACAAATCAAAAAAGGACAACAAATTTTTTCCTATTATACCCTTATTTACACTTTTTGAAAATTGTAAAAGTGTATGTTGTTTCCCTTCAATTTATTTCACTTTAATTCAAATAAGTAGTTGTAATTTTGAAGTGAAAAGTTGTCATAAGGGTAAAATTGTAACTTCACTGTGCTAATCATTATTGCCTTAATCTGTGTGCCATTTCTAAAGTGGACAACTTAAAAGGGACGGAGGGAGTATGTTTCTTCTTCATGTTTTATTCTTTAACATTAATTACGAATTCCCAAATTATTTCTCATGACATAAAACAACAATTACTATTATATACTCCCTCCGTCTCATATTATTAGTTGATCATTATACTAAAAATAGTTATCCCATATTAATTGTTCACCATACTAAATTAAGAAAGCATTAACTATATTTTTCTATATTACCCTTGCAATTAATTCTTTTTGAAAGTTTTCACATTTATTTGTATAATTACCAATAAATTTTTTAAGGAGTGAATTAGTAAAATTATCTTCTTATTTATGTATAGTAAGAAACCTACATCAATTATTATTTCTTAAAAAGCGTACAAAATCTAAAGTAGTTAATTAATAGTGAATGGAGGGAGTACTGCTATGAGTCTTTTTGGATTGAATTTCTGCTTATAAGTTATAGGCTAAAAGTAATAAGTTTTAATGACTTTTGACTTATTTTTGTGCTCATAAGCTCTTTTTTCTTTTATTTTACTCAAACACTATCAAATTACTTAAAAGCTACCCCGACTTAAAAATACCTAAAATAAATCAATCCAAACAGGCTCTAAACCTCAAAATTATTATACTCCTATAAAAAATAGGTAACTTGACTATGTAAATCGAAGTATTCTTATTTTGTTATAATATATCGCTAGAAAAAAGTTAACATAAAAAGCTAATGTCAAAGTTGTTTATCATACCAATTTTTAATGGTAAAATGTTGTAAAAGCAGGTTATGTTTGGCAACAGAATGGAGAAAGTGGAACTTCTTGAAGCTTTAGTAGTCGGTGATAAAGACACTACTCCTCCAAAATACTCCCAGGTATGTCAAATGTCCTCTCATATATAGCTGAAAGCAAAGTATTTTTAAATTATTTTTAATATATTAAAGAAATTTTGATCATTTTCCATATAAAAAATATAATTTTGTATAACATGTTAAATAATTCATTTTGATAAGTTTGTTTGATCTTTCATGTAGAGAATTTACCTTTTATAGGGAGATAACGATAAAATCTTTAATCATACAGTTTCAGATATTATGAAAGCGTAAGTACTCCTGAAAAGTTAGTCAATGCCTACCTTTTGTTTAATTTGAAATACAAATTTGATATTTGATTATGAAATTTTGCCGTATACTTTACTCATAGATATATCTTATCAATGAGTGCAGAAAATTGGGAGAAAATACATCGATGAAATATATAAAAAAAGCAGGACATCTTGTTCAATTAGAGCGACCCTACACATACAATCGCTGTCTCAAGAAATATCTTTCATGTTCTAGTGGCTATGGCAACGTGTGATGAATATGTGCAATAAATATAATATTTTTCAATTACTA